ACCTCTGGGTGAAAAAAATCAAGTGTACACATTGAAATTATATAATGCCAAAACATAGCTGTCCTTGAAAACTGTACCATTCTGTACCACCACAACTTAAAAGTACCTCTTAAACATGTAATTTAAATGATTGATTTTTTTAAGCTTTTTTCTTTGCTTTGTAAGTGTTCTCCATGGCAAACACCATGGCAGCGGGTTTTGCAAATTGCAAACAGGATTCAATGAACTTAAAGTGTTACTAAACCCACAACAGCAAAATCAGTCTGTGTATGCAGTAAAGCATGCTTGTTATACTCACTGTGGAACCTAAGGGGATTAATCCTCTGCATTGTGTAAAAAGGCTGTTTGATCCTGACCCTTCCCTTCTTCTACTGTCCCCAATCTATCTGCCATAGTTAGAGCAGCAGTGACAAGTCTGCACATGCTCTGTTTTGTTTGGTGTGTATTACTAGAGTATTTTTTGGAAGGGTGCATGTGATCAGCACAGGGCCAATCTGCGCTAACAAGACATAGGGTCAGGGGTTATGCAGCCTCATGGGACAATCAGAGGAGAATAAAAACTCCTCCTACAAGCTTTAATCAGTGCTCTGCTGGACACTGATAGAAGTCACTGCTATATACTGCTGATAGTATTTTTAACAGTGCATTTCCATGTTCTGTGTACTGAGGAAGACCGGATATAGTGAATGCAGGGTCATGGGCTTAGTAACACTTTAAGCAAATTAGCTTCTCCCCCTTCCCTATCAAAGATGTATATATATAAAAAAAAAGTTGCCTATACAAATAGATAGTATTCAACACATACCAAGTGAATATTCTCGCCAACTTTTCTAAATACTCTAAGCCCAATATGCAAAAATTTAACAAAAATTAGGGAGGGTTTACCCAGGTTTCACACATTTTTCTCTTTGCATGTTATGTGAAAAATAAATAAATCTTGGGTAATAGTAGTGCAAATCGTAGGTAAAAACATTGATAACTAGACCCCTATATGCCTCAATACTTCAGCAGGATGTTGTTTTGAATATACACTCATCGGCCACTTTATTAGGTACACCTGTTCAATTGCTTGGTAACACAACATGCTAATCAACCAATCAGATGGCAGCAACTCAATGCATTTAGGAATCTAACTGTGGTGAAGACGACTTGCTGAAGTTCAAACCAAGCATCAGAATGGGGAAGAAAGGGGATTTAAGTGACTTTGAACGTGGCATGGTTGTTGGTGTCAAATGGGCTGGTCTGAGTATTTCAAAAACTGCTGATCTTCTGGAATTTTCATGCATAACCATCTCTAGGGTTTACAGAGAATAGTCAGTAAAAGAGAAAATTGCCTTGTTGATGTCAAAGGTAAAAGGAGAATGGGCAGACTGATTTGAGACGATAGAAAGGCATGCTATCATGTCAATATGGACCAAAATCTCTGAGGAATGTTTCCAACATCTTATTGAATATATGCCAGAAAGAATTAAGGCAGTTCTGAGAGCAAAAGGGGGTCCATCCCAGTACTAGCAAGGTGTACCTAATAAAGTGGCCGTTCAGTTTATATCTCTGTACCTAGATTTTGGTGACCAGAAGAAAGTTGAAGAACAATTTTTATTCCAAAAGCTTATTAACTTTTACTGCAATAATAAATACAAAGTGATTCCTGATGTTGTGAAGTTTTGCTGATCTCTTACTCAATAAACTGCAATTACTTACATCTGGTCGGAAGGAATAAGACGTGAAAAGGAAAAAGCAAGATATTGTCAAGGAAGTTTTGGATCCTTGTGGTCTCAGTTTTGTTTGATTACCATTTCTGTTATTCTGTTTATTACGGGATCTGTATATCCACGTTGTTCTGTTTATGTGTAATCCTGCTGTTGCAGTAATGTCATTGTGGATTCTGTAAGTACTGGTCCATTTTCTCTATTATCTTGACAATAAAAGTTGTTAGGATTAAAAAAAAAATGCAAGTACTGTCCAAAAATAAGGTGTACAAAAACTTGAATTCATTTATTTTTGTAAAATATTTAAAAATATGTGTGATTAATCAAAGTACTCTTAATATGGCCTTTAAAAATCCAGTTTAAACACTGAAGCACTGAATAAAACTGGCATATGCTGGGGCCAAGTGACCGCAGTAGAATAAAGTCATGTCATGCACGTAATGTGAGCTCTGCTAGTCTCCAGGCTCCTTTTCAGAGAATAAAATCTCTGTTGTCATTGTAGATTGCAGTTTACCTTTTAAGAGGAAAAATGGGAGACCCCTGCCATACAATAGTATTTTAGAGGTCATATATGGGACACCATGGCAGACGTCTAATATTTCTTAAAACCTGATTCATCCAAAAGGCAACTCAGTGCTGGATACAGAATAAATGAAAGTACAGAAACATTAATGTGACCTCTTCTGAAATATTCATAATTCACATAAATGTTTTATCCATATCTGATCACATATCACCCAGAGAATGGCTGCTTTTTTTTTTTTTTAGGTGATGATCATGAAAAATAGATATGCTTCTGTAATGTCTTCCTAGTCGTGTAATGTAATACAAATCACCCGTTTAATCTGCTTTGTTCACCACTGTAAGAACAACTGGCACATCTGTTGCTGTGATTTCTTAATGAGAGGCATATTTTTCTCATAGATCTTTTGCTTACTGCCACCCCAGCAATCTCTGCATGTGTCATGTCAACAATTAGACAATAAGCAAAGACACGTGGGCTTGACCCAACAATGGTACATTACAGGGGACTGAAAAAAAGTGTAGTTAGGGTGTGTAGTATGTTGCCCTCCCAAAGAGGAGGAAACCCTCCCAGACCCCCCAGGGTGCGAGACTCCTGATGGGGTAAAGCAAAATCAGATCCACCTAGCCAAACGGCCCAGCGGACCCCTCTCTCCTCATGATTAGCTGAAGCTGACCAATGAGTAATAGATGGGGGGCTCTCACAAAGAAAGACCTCCCAAGGCACGGTAGGATGGATCCAAATTGCCACACATTATCCCCGTAGACTTCAGGGTAGGTCCAAAGACCCAAACCCTGCCATCCTGGGTGTAAAGGAAAGACAAATATAAGTGTAGGTGACACACATGGAAGGAAGAATAAATAAATGAACATTAACAAAAAAATAGCAGATGCCAAAAGGCTTAGCCCTTAGCTTAGTGCAGAAAAAAAAGCTTGCATGTTGTGGCCTAATGCAGTTTCATGCAGTGGACACCCAAACCCAAAGTGCTACTCCAGCAACTCTGAGACACCCTTCCCAGGGGAAGCTTGGCATTGCAGGCCCTCTGCCTTCCCAGTCCTCAGCCAAGCAAGGTAGCACAGCTCAGATCAGGAGTTACTGAGCCCCTCAGAATCCTCCATACCAGAGAATTTACTCCCAACCCTCAGCTTATGCATTGGACACCTTGGTCTCTGCTCTGATGGGGAAGTTCCCTCAGGACTCCCATCATACCAGCAGGGATACTATACAGCCAGCCATCCCAGCCAGAAGGCCAGGATGATGGTGGAGCACCCCTATAGGAAACTGATGAGAATCAATATTATACTTGATCTTAGCCAAAACACTAAGAAGCAATAACGTGGCCAGTTTATCACTTCTTAGCCTGTTTTCCATTTAAGCTGCACCCTAGACTTACTTTTAGTTGTACAGGTGCCTCCCATGCACTGAACTTGCTTACTCCAATTTACCTGCACTCTGTGAGCTTCTTACAGTGTGCATTAGATGATGCAAGCTGGATAGAGCCCAGCTCATTTCCTGGCCTAGCTTTCCTCCCTAGCCTAACTGTTCCTTGCCCATCCCCATTGGAGATCTCTCATTCGTAGAGGCTCAGCATCTCAAAGGTAATTTTCCTCCTTGTTTGGCAGTCCCCGCTGGCACATCTCTCTTTTTGGTGCTTCCTGTAGCAAGTTTGGTGCTAAATAGGCAGATGTCAATGCAATCTCCTTTTGGGTTCTGAGCCAGAATGTGTGTGTGTCTATAAACGCACATACTGTAGTGCTGGTAAACCACACCCCTGCTCCTTCCTCACAGGGTTTTGACTGACAGCACCAGGAGCCCATGGCTCCCACTCACCGCAGTTTCTTGGTGGTGGTGATGTGTTTGGGGGGGGGGGGGGGATAAGGAAAGGTAGTGGGGCATTTTTTTTTTTTAACCTTAATGCAAAGAATGGATTAGGTAAAAAAATGTTTGAACTTTTGTACCACTTTATCCACTTGCTGGCAATTTTTTTTAACTTTTCATGCATATGTTAAAATCAGCATTTTTTGCTAGAAAATTAGAAGTCCCAAGCATATATTTTCTGAAAGCATATGCCCCAATGGAATAAAATGGTGGCTATTGCAGTTTTTTATGTCACATGATATTTGCACAGCTATTTATTAAACGTAAATATTCAGGGAAAAATAGATTCATATGAATTTTAGTGCATGCAAACACAATTTAATACCTATTTTTTGTAACATATAAAAGATGATTTTGCAGCAAGAAAATAGATACCAAACACATCAAGATTTAATATTGCACATGCCCCTGAAATCTCATCAAACTATGCTACCTAAAATTGTTCATAGGTGACAGTTAAAAGGCTTTTACAGGTTACCAGTTTAACCGCTAGCCTACAGGGCACTTATACCCCCTTCCTGCACAGGCAATTTCCAGTTTTCAGCGCTGTCACACTTTGAATGAAAATTGCGCGGTCATGCAACACTGTACCCATATAAAATTTTTAGCATTTTTTTGTGACAGAGCTTTATTTTATTGGTATTTAATCACCTCTGGGTTTTTTATTTTTTCTTAAACAAACCAAAAACCACTGAAAATGATTAAAAAGAAACGTTTTTTCTTAGTTTTTGTTATACAATTTTTTAAATAAGTGATTTTTCTCCTTCACTGATATGCGTTAACGAGGCTGCAGTGATGGGCACTGATAGGCTGCACTGATGGACACTGATAGGTGGCACTGATGGGCACTGATGAGGAGGCACTGGTAAGTGGCACTGATGGGCATTGACAGGCATCACTGATGGGCACTGAAAGGCAGCACTGACTGACACTGATAGGCGGCACTGACTGGCACTGTTAGGCAGCAATGATAGGCGGCATTGACAGGCACTAATAGGCGGCACTGACTGGCACTGATAGGCGGCACTGATTGGCAATGATTGGCAGCACTGATAGGTGGCACTGATTGGCATTGGTAGGTGGCACTTACTGGCACTGATGGGTGACACTGAAAGGCAGCTCAGATGGGCTCTGATATGTGGCATTGATGTGCACTGGTAGGCACTGATATGTGGCACTGATGGGCACTGGCACGAGGCACTGATGAGCACTGACAAGGGCACTGATGGACACTGCAAGGTGGCGCTGCTGGGGCTACACTGATCATCAGGGCACACTGATCATCAGTGCCCTGATGATCAGTGTACATGTCAACTCCGCGGAAAGCCGATTACCAACTCTCCTCTCCTCTTGAGCTGTCAGCGTGACAGCTCGTGGGGAGAGAAATGCCGATAACCGGCATTTCCCTGTTTACTGTGATCAGTTGTGATTGGACACAGCTGATCCCATGACCGAGCCGACATCTTCGGCTCTTTCCATGACCGGTGATCCGCTGTGTCCGAGGGACACAGAGCACCGCCGATCGCCGCACTGCGCTCTCCCTGAGCCGCGCTTGCGCAGTGAGAATGGGAGGACGTCATATGACGTCCTCCCAGAACGAGAGAACCGCCTTGAAGCCGTCAGATTACTATATGGCGGGCGGGAGGTGGTTAGAGGTAATTCTGAATAATGGCCCTAGAATTATTGCTCTCACGCTGACATTCACAGTGATGCTTCACACATGCTAGACCACCACGGGCGGTAGGGGAGGCAGCCCTACACATAAAAATGACCACTTTTGAAAAAAAAAAACCAGCTGATGGCCAGCTACCAAAGCCAGTGCCAGTACCAAAACCATGGCTGCAGCTGCGGCCAGCAATATAGATTTTGTTTGTCCAGGAGGATATGGTTGTTCCAGCTGCTGGGGGTTCCACTTGTATATTAATAAAGGTAATATTTAAGTGTTTGTCCTTCATTTTCATTCTTTTGTACTGGAAGTGTCCCTCTGGGGTGGAAAAAGCTGTCTTCTCCAGGGCAGCCTTGGTTAGAGATATTTGCCAAACCAATTTGTAAGATCCAAAAATCTCAAATGGGCTTTGCTATCTTGCAACTGATGAAATCAGCATCCTTGTCATGATTTCTCTTGACTCTGGGAGTTTGCTGACATGAGCCATCATTAGATGTGAGGTCGTAGTATGCCCTTTGTAGGTCTTCTGACAAAATTTGAGTAATTAGGCCAGGCCCGTATGAATGAAGTGCCTTGATCAGTAAGAAATTCTCTTCGAAAACTGGTCCTAGTAAACATTTGGATCAGTTCATTGGCAACCATTTTGAATTAGGTATTTCACAAAACAATAACTTTAGAGTATCAAATGGCATGGTTAAGGATCACTGGTATGTAATAGTGACCTCAGGCTGGCTACACAAGTGGGCCTACTAAATCCATTGTTATACAGTACATTTAAATGGAGCTTCAAATATAGGTAGGGGCACCAAGGGACTGTAGAAGTACTGTACATCTCTGGTTATATTGCAGTTGAGACACAAAAGTATTTTTTAACTTCAGCTTTCAAGCCTGACCAGCAGAACTGGTCGGTGATGTGTGCCTCCATTTTCTCAGTCCCTAGGTGCCCCCCTCATACATCATTATGTATCAGATTGATTACCTGTATGGACATTACCTGTACTGCTTGTTTGGTTGAGGCACCAACAATTCTTAAACTGTATCTTTCTGACCTTTGGTGCTTATATATGTTAGGACCAAAAAAAATTCACATGAAGACAAAAGTCTAGTTGGCTGCACATCACCTTTAATAACAAATTTTTGTTGAAACAGCACACCAGCTAACATGTTGCACGCTAAAAATTAGTGCTTATTCATGGGGTATAATTAGGTGCTGAGTTTAGCGTGAAACACGTTAGCTGGTGTGCAATTTCCCTTCTGTAACTACATTGTGGAGTGTTTTTGACAAAGATGTTTCAATAAAGGTGATTTTATGGATGTGCAGAGAGCCAGACTTTTTTCTACACCATGATGACTACACTGAACAGGGCCAGCACCTGGTAGTGTGCTAGTAGAGGTGGAACAGGAGACCAACCTGGAGCGGTGCTTCTCTCTATTCATATGAAGACTATGGACCCAGCATTACCTTCACAGCAGCTGGTGCTGCACTTACTGACTCTCACATGCTTCTCTGAAATGATAGAATGATCTTGAAGAAATAGGCTTAGGACCAAGCTTGAGAACAATCTTCAAGCGGTATTATACCCAAAACCAAAAATTTTATATATTGCAGCTTACTAATCATTAGATGTGGTAGCTGCACCAGTTTTCTTTTCTTTGGCTTTTTTTCCCTCTGTTTTCACCTGGTGATCTGGCAAGTAACACACCTCCTGTATTAGATGCCACTACTATGGATGAAGAAGCACAGAGAGCACTTCTGGACAGCAGTATTGTCAGTCTGGGGGGAAGAGAGTGTTAGAAGTACCGTATTTTCCGGCGTATAAGACGACTGGGCGTATAAGACAACCCCCTACTTTTCCTGTTAATATATAGGGTTTGGGCTATACTCGCCGTATAAGACTACCCCTCTTCCAACGCACACCAATAAAAATTAAAAAACATCAGATTTGATTTCAATATTATTATTATTATTATTATACAGTATTTATAAAGCGCCAATAGTTTGCTCAGCGCTGTACATTACAAAGGGGGACAGAACATGTGACAGAACAATACCAATACAATGCAAAACATGAGGGGATTGAGGGCCCTGCTCTTTCGAGCTTACAATCTAGGAATATGGTATGGTATTTCAGTATGGTATTCCAATGATGGGGTGCTATTCCTCCCACTGACACCAATGATGGGGCACGATTCCTCGCTCTGACACCAATGATGGGGCACTATTCCTCCCACTGATACCAATGATGGGACACTATTCCTCCCACTGACACCAATGATGGTGCACCATCATTAGTGTCAGTGTGTGAGGAATAGTGTCCCATCATTGGTGTCAGTGGGAAGAAACGTGCCCCATCATTGGTGTCAGTGGGAGGAATAGTGCCCCATCATTGGTGTCAGTGGGAGGAATAGTGTCCCATCATTGGTGTCTGTGGGAGGAATAGCACCCCATCATTGGTGTCAGTGGGAGGAATAGCACCCCATCCTTGGTATCAGTGGAGGGAATAGTGCCCCATCATTGGTATCAGTGGCGGGAATAGTGCCCCATCATTGGTATCAGTAGCGGGAATAGTGCCCCATCATTGGTATCAGTGGGGGGAATAGTGCCCCATCTTTGGTGTCAGTGGGAGGAATCATGCCCCATCATTGGTGTCAGTGGGAGGAATAGTGCCCCATCATTGGTGTCAGTGGGAGAAATAGCGCCCCATCATTGGTGTCAGTGGGAGGAATAGCGCCCCATCATTGGTGTCAGTGGGAGGAATAGCGCCCCATCATTGGTATCAGTGGGAGGAACAGTGCACCATCATTGGTATCAGTGGCAGGAATAGTGCCCCATCATTGGTATCAGTGGGAGGAATAGTATCCCATCATTGGTGTCAGTGGGAGGAATAGCGCCCCATCATTGGTGTCAGTGGGAGGAATAGTGCCCCATCATTGGTATCAGTGGCAGGAATCGTGCCCCATCATTGGTTTCAGTGGCAGGAATAGTGCACCATCATTGGTATCAGTGGAGGGAATAGTGCCCCATCTTTGGTGTCAGTGGGAGGAATCATGCCCCCATCATTTGTGTCAGTGGCAGGAATAGTGCCCCATCATTGGTGTCAGTGGGGAAAATAGCGCCCCATCATTGGTGTCAGTGGGAGGAATAGCACCCCATCATTTGCTGTCAGTGGGAGGAATAGTGCCCCATCATTGGTATCAGTGGGAGGAATAGTGCCCCATCATTGGTATCAGTGGCAGGAATAGTGCCCCATCATTGGTATCAGTGGGAGGAATAGTATCCCATCATTGGTGTCAGTGGGAGGAATAGTGCCCCATCATTGGTATCAGTGGCAGGAATCGTGCCCCATCATTGGTATCAGTGGCAGGAATAGTGCCCCATCATTGGTATCAGTGGGGGGAATAGTGCCCCATCTTTGGTGTCAGTGGGAGGAATCGTGCCCCATCATTGGTGTCAGTGGGAGGAATAGTGCCCCATCATTGGTGTCAGTGAGAGGAATAGTGCTCCATTATTGGTGTCAGTGGGGGAAGGAATAGTGTTCCATAATTGGTGTCAGTGGGGGGGGGGGGAATAGTGCCTCATCGTTGGTGTCAGTGGGGAGGAGGAATAGTGCCCCATCGTTGGTGTCAATGGGGAGGAAGAATAGTGCCTCATCGTTGGAGTCAGTGGGGGGGGGGAATAGTGCCCCATCATTGGTGTCAGTGGGGGGGGAGGAATAGTGCCCCATCGTTGGTGTCAGTGGGGGAGGAATAGTGCCCCATCGTTGGTGTCAGTGGGGGGGGGAGGAATAGTGCCAATAGTGTTCCAGCATGGTGCTGCTGCACACTTACCGGCCGCTCCCTCACTCGATTTTTACGGGGCCGCTCGGCTCCGCTCCTCGCCGGTGATTGGCCGCCTGTGTGCCTTTCCTGATCTACAGTTCTGTCGCCCAATCACCGGTGAGGAGGTGGAGCTGAGCGGCCCGCGCGAACATCGTGCGGCCGAACTGAATGAAGGAGCAGCCGCACTTCCTGGACTAGATCGTCGTGGGACCGGGACCAGAGCCAGGTAAGAAACAGTAGCCCCCTGCCCGCCCCTGTACTTAGTGTCCGTTCTGTTGGAAGGGGGAGCACCGCCCCCCGAAAAAGTGCTGCCCTGACACCGGCTCGCCGGCGTATAAGACGACCCCCGACTTTTCAGAAGATTTTCATGGGTTAAAAAGTCGTCTTATACGCCGGAAAATACAGTACTAACAGATTTAAATACACTAACAAATTGAAGATGATCTCCAGCTAAAAATATTATAAGCAGTTGGAGAAAAGAGTTTTCTTTCTTTTGGGATAAAGGTTTTACATAAATAAATAAAAGCTGATCATTGTAAGCAACCCTGTCTGTGGTAAATGGCTTGTCTTATCTCTGTAACTGATACATTTTGCTGGAGAGCTTGTTATTTTGAAAAACAACTTAGATACTTACTGGCTGGATCATCAGATGAAAATAGAAAATAGAAGAAAGAAAACTCTAAAAATGAAAATGAATGCAGCCATCACATCTAAGAAATGGTATCCTGCAATATAAAGTTTGCTTTTGGGTTTAATAGT